TACTCCTTCTTGGCTTATCTACTTGCTCAGCTTGATCATCTACTTGATCATCTATGTGATCATCTGTGTGATCAGCTATGTGATCATTGTCACCTTCAACCTCTTTCATGAAACTTGAAACCCCTTCTTGGAGATGACAATGAAATACTTCTTCAAAGAAAGATGAATTTCTTGATTCCATGATAGTAGTCTTGTGTATATCTGGAATAGCAGACCTATACACAAGAAATCGATATGCACTGCTATTATGTGCATAGCCAATGAATATACAATCCACTGACTTCGGGCCTATCCGAACCCACTTGGGTGTAGGCACCACCACTTTCGCAAGACACCTCCACATTCATAGGTATTTATATGAAAGCTTGTGGGCTTTCCACAACTCATATGGAATCTTGTCTACATTCTTCCGAGGTATTCTATTAAGAATATAATTCGCGGAGAGAATTGCTTTCCCCTCACCCCCAAGTTCTGTGGCAACCCAGAACTTATTAACATTGCATTCATCATTTCTTTTAATGTTCTATTCTTCCACTCAACAACACCATTTGATTGAGGGGAGTAAGGTGCTATGGTTTGGTGAATAATCCTAAATTGAGCCCAAAGCTCAGCAAACGGAGATTCATACTCACCACCACAATCACTTCTTAAAGTCTTGATCTTTTACTTAGTTGATTCTCAACTTCATTCTTGAAAAGAATAAATTTATCAATTGCCTCATATTTGCTTTTAAGCAAATACACATAACAGCATTTAGTGCAATCATCAACAAAAGTGATGAAGTCCTTGTCAATTTTGCTTATACACAAGTTTCACACTTGTGATTTGGATTAATCTTGAAAGATGGTATGTGATCTGATTTGATTAATCTACGCAAAAAGTCAAAATTTACATATCTACCATGCCATAAATTAAGGGACTCAAGCATATAAGCAAAAGAAGAAAAAGTTTTCTCATTAATTTTAGGGACAAGAATCATTACATTGACCTTAAACATACCGCTTGATATATATCGCTTTCCCACATAGACCCCGCTCTTGGTCAACACGAGCTTATCAGCCTCAAACACCATGCAGAAGCCATGCTTACTCAAGAGCGACCCTGAGACAAGATTCTTACGAATGTCCGGCTCAAATAGGACATCGTTCAGAGTTAGGTCTTTTCCTGAAGTCATCTTCAAGACCACCTTGCCTTTACCCTCAACAGTTGAGGTTACAGAATTCCCCATGAACAACTTCTCACCGTTTGAAACCAGTTCGAAAGTTATGAACATCTTCTTCTCAGCACAGATGTGGCGAATGGCCCTAGTGTCCACCCACCATTCCTTCAGGTTAGACCCTCCCCATGTTTACTTCCGTGACGATAGCTACTAGATACATGTCGTCCACATTTTCTGATAGATCCTCCATCTCAGCCATGTGAGCCCGGCTTTTGTTCTGTAGAGGGTACTTTTTGTAAGGCTTCTTCTTCTTGCGGCAGTCAACCGCCCGATGCCTATTACTTCCATAGTTGAAGCACTTTTCATTGAACCTAAAAGTAGGTTTCTGCTTCTTGTAGACTGGCTTTCTGGAGACACTACCTCGCGTCCCGAAGTTCGAGCTGTTGCCTATCGGTGATTTTTTCCTTACCCCCGAGAACTGGCCATGCTCAACCACGTTTGCTTTCACCATAGAGGTACTCCTCTCTTTCTTTATGTTGTCTTCCTCAATACGAAGCCTGACAACAAGCTTTTTGACTGTCAGCTCCTTTCACTTATGCTTCAAGTAGTTCTTGAAGTATTTCCAGCTATTAGGCAGCTTATCAATCAGTGCAGCTTCCTAGAATGATTCACTGAGGAACATTCCCTCAGCATGAATCTTATGTAGAATTACTTGAAACTCTTAGACTTGACTAATGATGGTTTTTGAGTCCACCATTTTGAAATCCAAAAACCGGCCAACAACAAATTTTTTTGCCCTGGCATCCTTGGTCTTGTACTTCTTGTCCAAAGCATCCCACAGCTCCTTTGCCGACTTCTTCACATAAAACACGTTGAAAAGTGAATCTACCAAGCTCAAAAATCTAGAAATCCCCTAGATGTTGATTTGTGACTATGTATCAATTTTAAGCAGTAAACAACAATCCCAATCAAACAATCAAGACAAATCGACACAACGATTTTGTGTGAAAAAACCACAATTGGAATTGGAGTACCTCCAATTGTGATAAAAAAAAACCACGGGCAAAAGACACAAAACAATCCACTAAAAAGACATAAACGAATTACACAGGTATACTCCCAATTACCTAGCGAATCCACACCCAAATTGAACCAACCCCTATGTGCCTTTTCCAGCCCCGTCTTCACCTTGGAATTGTCTTGCCCAACATTCAATCCACAATGCCGATGTCGAATCACGACGATGAGCCACTCTAGAATCCACCAAAGCTTCAGGCTCAAATTTCCCAGAATCCACTGAAGAACAACACTCTCATTTGTATAGAATGAACAAACAATCCTTTGATGTATACTTCTTAACCCATGAGTTGAATACTCAATGAAACATCAAAGAAAACTAGCAAAATAGCCCCAGATATAAACCCTAATATCCAAGAAGAAGATCTGGAGGCGTAATCCTAGATTTGGACTGAATCACATATTTATAGAAAACTATCCCGCGATGCTCGCTCGAGCGAAGACTCTCTCGCTCGAATGAGGAACCCAAAAACACGTGTTTTCTTTAAGTGGCTTTGCTCAAGCCATGCAACCTGCGCTCGAGCGTACGTTCATCCTTCTCAGGTTTTTTCAAACGCAGCCTTCGCTCGAGCGAGGACTCCTCTGCTTGAGCGAGCAAGGGTGGACAAGCAACTTCAAATGCCTTTTGCATTTTGCTTCGGGGGCACTGCCCCTCAACCCCACCGTGGCATTGCTCCAAACCCGCCAAGGGGTGCTGCCCCCCGGACCCCCTCGAGCTGACCGGGCAGCTCAATCCCCGTTATAGTCAACGAAGTGGCAATCTTGAAAGAATTAACATCACAAACTTCTTTAAAATATTTAAAAAATTTACTAAAAGTAATAAAATATAGATTGAAAATTTAAAAAATTATTTTTGAAAACTATAAACTAAATAAGTTTTGAATTTCAAATTTGTAAAAATTATTTTGAAAATATACAACCAAACTCTAATTATAAAATTCATTTGAAAATTCAAACCAAATAGATCATCTATTTATATTTTGACCTCAAAAATTTTTTTGTGCAACAAATTAGATAAATTATATTTTAATCCATATGAAGCAGAATATTTCTTTATATTTTTTTAGTTTTTTATCAAAAAAAAGTTACATATTCTACAAATTTCAATATAATACATATAAATTATAACTATATTTTAATCTCAACAATATTTACATGGTGTTTTTAAACGCGAACATACACTAGTTCTTAAAATATGTCATAGTCAAGACAATCACTCACGTTCCATTTAAAAATAAAAATAAAAAAATAAAAAATTGACACACGGACCAAAAAGTACCAAAAATTTAAAATAAAATAAAACTCAGTCAATTTGGGAGGTAAAAAATTAAACCTAAAAAATTTGGTGTGTGAATTTTTTTTAATAGCAAATTGGTATATGTCAATTTGACATAAAAATTCTTTACTTGTTATGTCAAATCTATTATTTTATTTTACAATGGAAAAGTTATTTGAAATTGGCCTTGTTGGGATCTTTTTATTTTTATTTTTTTTATAGTTGTGAGAGAAAAAATAAAATAATTATGATTGGATATATAATTTTGTCTTATTAATTATTTTAACCTATTTTATCTTTTAATGAGTTATTTTAGCCCAACTCTCTTTTCAAATCATGGTATAGTATATATTACTATTGGGATTTAAAAAATAAAATAAAAAATGGCAACAACCTGAAGTATGTCTAATTTAAAATGTTGTGTTTATGTCAAATATCAACTATTAGCATTTGACATATTAGATGAATTTCATTATTCATGTCAAAATTAAACTATTATTGTGCCACATAGGATTTAGCATTTCAATTGTAACTGCTCTAAAACTTTTTTTTTGGGGGGTTGTTTACTAGGTTAATTCCTTGATAAAATTTTTAACTTCTAAAGTCTTGATTTTAAATAATTCTTTTTTTTTTCAATAAAATAATAATAATAATAATTCTTATTTTTTCTACCGCTTTATCTTTGATTGACCTTTCTCTCTCCCTCATTTAGACTAATCACACTGACTTTTTTTTAAAAAAAAATTATTTTTATAACACTCAACTCTCTTTTTTATAAATAATTCATTAAGTATATGATGTAAAGAACATATTGACAGTCTTGCTTTTAAATAATTCCTATTTTTTAAATAAAATAATAATAATAGTAATTCTTATTTTCTCTACCACTTTATCTTCGATTGGCCTTTCTCTCTCCATCATTTAGACTAATCACACTGACTTGTTATTTTTTTTATTCATATAGCACTCAACTCTCTTTTTCATTAATTATATGATGAAAAGCACATATTAACATATATTTTACACCAAAATAAATAGTTTATTTTGTTTTTCTTTGTGCTTCTACACCATATTACTTTAATTATGATGCATTTAATCTTATTAAAATTGAGAGATTGTTTATTTACTTTTGTAGACAATGTCATACATAATCTATTTTTTTATTTCATTTTTTCACTCCTAGACTAGGAGTGAAAAAATGATGTACGAAATAAAATTATTATATGAGTGAAAAAATGATGTACGAAATAAAATTATATATAATATTTTTCTTTCTCCGAACCTAAGGGAAAGCCAGTGTAATTTATCTATGCTTTTTTTATACCACACGCTTTATTGAATCATGAATTTATGCAGCGATTTGAAAAGAGAAAAAAAATATGAGGACAATATGAATAAAATATATGCTATTTTTTTAACAAATTTTCATCTTTCTTTACAAATTTATGATTCAAACACTATAGAAGGATATATAAAAAGGCTGGGAATGCAAGATGCAAAACTATGAAATGGGTATATGACATTACAAGTTCAAATGGTCTAGCAGCTTCATTTTTTATTTTTTTTAAATGCAAATATTGAAAAGTGATTTTAGAATTTTAAAAACACATTTTAAAAAAATATAAGAAAACTTACTCCAACGAAAAAATCCTTGACAAGGAAAGCATAGACAGACCAAACTCCAGCATTGAGGAAGAGGAAAAATGATAGGAAAAAAGGCATGTACTCCACACTCGCCGTCTTTATCACAATTCTCTGTTATTGTCATCCATTAAAAATTGAAACACAAATGAAGACCTATGCCAAAGATATCAATTAAAAAAACCAAAATGCTACACAAGTTATGTTTTTCAACTCTTAAATTTTGAGTCAATTTGTGGGCATTTTTCATTAGTTTCTAAATTTTGACTTGGGTAATAAAAATGAAAAACAAAAGTCAAATGACACACCCCAAAATGGTCAAAAAATTTAAATAAAAATCACGCCGTATATGTGCCATATTAAATGACATGTGCCAAAGGTTAGTTAGAACAAATCTCCAAACACTCTCCTGAGCAATAATTGAGTAGGAAGTTTAATATTAATTGGAAGTAGAACTATAAAAATGTCAAAATCTGATTGAAAGACAATAAAAATTTATCCAAACATTTCCATTTCACCCCTGACCTATAAAATTTTATTTTATTTTTTAATTTTTTTGGCAACTAATTTGTATGAGCAAAGCTAGTTCGTAATGGCATTTGAAAAGGCTTACCATGACAGCTAGAGGTGCTGCATACATGCCTATAGTCAATGCTGCACATAAAATGCCCACAAAGGTAAACCTTAGACTTCCATGGATTGCTAGCAGAGTCACAGCTATTACTGCCCCAAGAAACCCAACATCGAATATTGCCACCAACTTCATAGATTTAACCTGAATTTCAATACCATTGGCAAGTTTGTAATACGATGAGAGAGTGATAGATCCAGAATTTTTAATATAGAGAGAGAATAAATTTAATAAAAATTTATAAAAAAGAAAAAGAAAAAAGCATGGACGTTAACATTTTTCTACCAGCACGAAATTTGAAAATAAGATGAAAACATAAGTTAATAAGTATGTCAATCCATATTGGTGTATAAAATATTAACAACTACATCTAAAATGATGCATCTTTAGTTGCGCTTGAGGATCTTTCGTGTTATTAAGGCCAAGTTTGGCATGCGGCTAAAAAGTCAAAAACTCAAAAAGTTAAAAAATTATCATTATTCGTCAAAAGTCAAAAATTACGACTGTACAACTCACAATTCTAATTTTTCCTTACATACTAATTTATACAATTTTTTAATACACATTTTTTCATAAAAAGGCAAAAAGTTAACCTAAACAATTACAAAACACAACCAAACGCAGGCTTAAATCATAATTCTACAACGCACAAACTCTTTACCAAACAAATTTCCAACTTGTTAACCAAACGCAGGCTTAAATCACAATACGCAGGCTTTCCATAAAAAGTCAAAACTCTTTACCAAACAAATTTTCTACATTCAAATCATAATTCTACAACACACAAACTCAAAATACAACTCATACTCTCAAATCACATTTACAAAACACAACCAAACGCAGGCTTATATTTTTTTCCTCAACTTTTTAGTCCAAAAATTCAAAAAGTACACTTATTTAGGACATTCCAAACAACCCCTAAAAATATTTGTGCTAGAATCAATATTAAAACCTCAAATAATATATTTTTTAATAAATGTGATCAAGTAACTTGTTAACTTTTCTTCCACCTTCTTCCATCATTGTAGGTTAGGGTTTATAATCAATACTTGTCTGAACCTTCTAATTTATATTTTGACCCCCATTTTCCAAAGATATAGAATTTAGGCACTTCAGTTTTTTAAACACCCAGAGAGAATGTCACATAAATTTTTTTAAAAAACCTTAGGAGAGGTTAAAATTTTCAACAATGCTACAGACTCCCAAAAAATATAACCCCACAACCCCCACTCATTTGTGATTGGTCCAAAAAGAAAAAAAAAAACATACACACACACGATTGGTCGACATCATTTTGGGAATCATGGGGGTCCCCAACTTTGGGGGTCCCAAGTATTTTTGTAAAATTTTTAAACACCTAGAGAGAATGCCACACGTGTATAATTTGAAGATAATTAATAACTAATGCTACTTTAACAATGGATTTATTTATTTATTATCTCTTGTATGGATGGATCCACACAATAAGATTATCTTCGTTTTTTAAAAAAAAGGTTGTTTTATTTGGACCCCCTTTTCATCAAAAATCCATAGTGTTTATTATGCAATTTTGGCCCTAATAAAACCAAAAAGTGAAGTGTTTTTACTGAAAAGATGTGCGAATAGCACCACTCAATAAATGAATAAATAAATGTCAATCCAATTATTTTTTTAGATATGGTGGATTTTAATCAGACATGAATGTCTTAAATGATTCAAAAACAGAATTTTTTTTTTTTTTTTTTTTTGGGGGGGACATTTTATAACTCATCCCCAAATGTCCGCATAATTACATATGACCTTAACAATACTCTAATAGGTATGTTTACACAATTTTTAGTGTCCTATTTTATTAGGAATTTTTATTTATTTATTTATTTATTTTTAATCTTGTCATAGAATCAAATTTAGAATGCTTATACTAGAGATGAGATGGACTCACTTTGTAAGTGTTTTATTATTATTAATTTTTTTTGATTTTGATCAGAAAAATAAAATTCTATTTATGACCATGACTGATGATGATGGATTTCATGGTATACATATTATACGCGTGCAATATATTTCAATTTTTGAATTGTTCGTTGAATGAAAAATATTAATTGGTTACAAAAATTGATTAGCTGTTATGATGATATATTTATTTTATTTAGGTAATATTTTTGAAAATCAAAATTATGTGACAAAATTTTAAAAAACTGTTTTGAATTATGTGTTTTATAAAATACAACTATGCTATAACGTTCCATATGCCTACTCTGAGTGATTTAAATCATCTAGCTTGGAAAAAATAATTCTATCCACATAGAACGTGCCTAGGTCATAGAGTTGGCTTCGGCGGTGTTGGCTTTCAAATATTTTTTATTTTTTATTCTATATTTTATAGATTAGTAACGTCTTAATTATTTTAATTTGTCAAAAACGAAAGGCATTTTTTGAAGGCATGGAGTGCAACTTGTGGATCAACATCGAACGGTCCTAATATGATCATACCTGGAAACAAGACATTCTTGGTGAAACAACCGGTCCGATTGAAGGTCCATGCAAGTCCTCTATGTTCAGGTATTTATTTATTAAAACTCATGATTTTCATTTTATTTTTTTCAATTATATTTTAAATCATTTTATTTATATGTGTGTGTGTATACTTTATATTGCAATTTTTTCTTGATATTTTTTTTCCCTTATTTTTAAATCAGTAGTACTAATACGGAAACAAGTCATAGGATGAGACACATGGCTGGTTTAACAATTACGTTTTTAATAATTTTATTCTTTTTCCTTTTTTTAATAATTTTTTAAGATAAAATTATTGGTAAAAACGTTACATTTTGATATTGAAAAGCTGGGGTGGGGTTTGGAATTGTCTTTGGTGTTTAAAAAAATACAGTTTTTAGATCTTCAAAATTGAAAGTACTTGAAATTTAAAAAATAATAATAATAACTTTAAAATTTTTACCAAAACTAAAAGATAAAAAATAACCTTTAAGCACTTGCCAAAGATGATGTGCCTTGTTAAAAAAAAAATGTTTTTTTATTTTTTATTTTTTATTTTTTTATTTTAAATTACAAGCTTAAAGTGTATGTTTGTTTTTTTGTTTTTATATCTGTTCGTTTGATATTATTTTAAAAATTGCAAGCTTCATATATTTGTTTGTTTTTCATTAAGTAAGCATGATATTATTTGGGGCAAATTATACTAGCAGTCCCTATAGTTTGGGACTTGTGTCACTTTAGTCTCTGACTTTTCAATTGTGACACATTTGACCCTGAATTTTGAATCTTGTTCCGAATAAAGATAATTGAAGATATAATTGTTTAATTTCAAGGGTAAAATTGTCAATTTAATAAAATATAAACTAATTTGACAAAAATAAATATCAAAAAAATATTTTTAATTTTTTAAAAATTATTTCTATCCATTAAAGATAAAATTATGTAAAATTGATCAAAATTAATAAAAAATACATGATTAATTTTTAAAAATTAATTTTACATGATCATCATCCAAACACATAATAAAAATTAATTTGGTAAAAAAAAATGTCTAAAAGATGTATCAATTTTACATAATTTTATCTTTAGTGTGTAGAAATAATTTTTAAAAATTCAAAAATATTTTTTTGACATTTATTTTTGTCAAACTAGTTGTTCAAATTAGTTGATATTTTATCAAATTGACAATTTTACCTTTGAAAAATTGAATGGTATCTTCAATTGCCCTTATTTGGAACAAGATTCAAAATTCAGGGTCAAATATGTCACAATTAAAAAGTCAATGACTAAAGTGATAGAAGCCCCAAACTATAGGGACTATTAGTTTAATTCACCTTTTTATTTATATTTTTCAATGCTGTAACATATTAGAATGCAGAATACATAATGCTCTTTGTTTTTGTATGTATCAGTTTTTAGAAAATAGTGTATTAACTAATTGTTTACAAAATTGGAATTTATTAGCATGTTTGATTTGTTTATGTATATTATGCAATATTTTTATTGTTATATTTTGTGTCTAGACAATGGATCATTCTCCTACTGAAACAGCCACTGTTGGTGCCCAACCTAATGAAATAGTCACGGCAAGTTCAAGTCCCATAATTGTTTAGCATGGCAATGGAGCATAGCTTGGTAAATAAACTGAAATCTTTTTTAATTTTATACTATGTTGTTTGTTTTGATTTATGTTTACTTATTTATCAAATTATTTTTCCTTGTAGGTGGTTGATACCTGTTGATAATACATTTTTGCTTTGGCAAACTGTTTGATGATGGTCTTTTTTTGTGTATTTTTTGTCCATCCTTTTTATCCAAGCTGTTCATATTCTACTATGTTTTGTATTAATATTGTTTCAGTTCTATAGTTGGATGAATGTAATCATTAAAAGCAATTACAAACTTCTGGTTGGTTGATTTTTTTGAAGTTTTTTGTCTGGCAACTGGAGTGGCAAGTTTGGAAGTAGTGAATATTTTTGCAGTTGCAGAGTATAGCTATATATTTCTTTTGTGCTTTGACTATGAACATGATAGCTGATAGGTTATCTTGACCATGTTGCTAATCAAAGAACTTGATAGTTGATCTTAAGTTACTTATTTTGTTTGTTAATTGGAAGCTTTGAACCAATTTGTAATTTTTTTGTTTGTTTGTTTGTGTGAAAAGTTTGAAATTATTGTTTTTTTTCTTGATATAATTGGGTTCAAAGCAGGTAGCAAGTGGTGTATGAAATTTGTTAGTTAATTATTTGTTATTCATATTATGCGTGTTTGGAATTTATTGTTTAATAATTCTTTTTATTATGAGAGCTTTTTAGAATTGTAAAATTATAAATTTAATATTTTTTTGCTAATTATACTTTCAATTGTAAAATTGTCTATTTTTACAATTACTAATATTGTAACTTGGTAATAAATTAAAAATCATGAAAAATATCGGTTGCATTTGGTAGAATTTTGTAAATACGATTTGAGAGTATGAGTTGTATTTTGAGTTTGTTAGTTGTGAAATTATGATTTGAGTGTAGAAAATTTGTTTGGTTATGATTTTTAAATAGAGTGTTGAATTGAGTGTGGAATTGAGTTTTAAAATTTGATTTGACATGTGAAGTAAGAAAATTTGTTTGGTTATAAGTTTTGGAAAGAGTTTTCAAAACTTAATTCAAATTGTTATAACTCATAACAAAACACATTACTTTCTCACCATTGAAAATTCTGATCAACACTCATAACCAAACTCTTTTTAAAATTCAATTCTACTTTTACATTATTAAAAATTAACACTCATAACCAAACTCTTTTTAAAATTCAATTAAAAAAATTATTATTAACAGAAAATAACATTAATCAATTTTTTAATTGAAGATTCTACAAAGGAAATAATTTTTTTTCAAAATAAATATTCAAAAATTTTAATTCATAAATATTTAAATAATTTAAATAATCTAAAAATTTAATAAGTAAAAAATTAAAATAAACATTCAAAAAGTTTAAATCGTAAAAATTTAAATAATTTAAATATTCAAAAAAATTAAATAATTTAAAATGTTAATATTTTAAATTTAAAAACAATTCTACACTCAAATTGTAACCAAACACATAAAACAAAACTCAATTAATAAATTATTTTAAAACTCATAACCAAGCACATAACTCAAAACTACATACTACTTTCACAACTCTACACTCAATCATAACCAAATACATAACAAAAAAATTAAAATATTTAAAAATATTTTTATAAAATAGAGTTTGAATTTATTTTTATAAAATATTTTAAAATTTAAAAAATTAAAATCGTAATATTTAAAAATTAAAAAAGTTCATAACATATTAAATATTAAATATTTAAAATCTTAACAAAATTAAAATATTTTAAAAATATTAAATATTTAAAAAATATTTAAAAAATTAAAATATTGATTTGAATTGAGTTTTGAATTATGTGTTTGATTATGAGTTTTGAAAAATAATGATTATGTTTTGAATTGAGTTTTGAGAAATTGTTATAGAATTATGATTTGAAAGTTCAAAACAAACAACACACTCAAATCAATGGGTATAACTATAATTTGAGAGGCTTACCTAACGGTTTTCATAATAAAATTAGCAATGGTTTGGGCCAACTAATTTTATGGGCACAGTTCAACCCATGAAACCGACCGAATTCGACCGTCAACCTGATTCCTATGAACGGAGGGTTTCGAACCATCACCCGATCGAAATCGGATATTAATTCTCCCAACCCGAATCTGTTCGGTTAGCTATAGATTGATTGGTCAACCTGATCTGAATTGACCCGTGTGCAAAGGACTTAGGGTTGGTTTGGGAAGTGGGCTGACTTTTTGGCTTTTTTGGCTGGGTTAAAAAGATTGGTTTGGGAAAGACTTTTTGACTTTTTTAACTTTTTTTGTGAGAGAATAGTTTAATGATTATGGGTTAGATGTGATGTTTTGTTTGTTGTGGCTAAAATAGCCTATTTTGTGACTATTTTAGTCACAAACCATCTTGCCAAACAAACCTTAAAGTGAAACTTTGCTCCGATTAGAACGATTAATGATGTAATTTACCTTAATTGCTTTTAGTCTAGTAGTCATACTTTGATGATATAAATTACTAATAAAATTTTCTTCTCTGAGTAATGAAAGAGAGGTAATTGTATTATTTATATCATTAACAGGCCTCTCATGTATCCTCCTCATAAGCAAGCCAAACACATGCAAATATTTTAATTACCGAATAGATTGTGATGTTTGAATAACACATGATCTGTTCTAACTAACCATCAACTCACATAAAAAATTAAGTTATTATGAAAGATAATTTTAGTATTTATGTTGTTAATACTGATCAATAATTTATCATATATAACACCGGACAATAAATTATGAATTTGAATCTCACCACTTACTCAATTATTATAATATTTTCTCAGCTCTTAAAGTATGAAATGGATAAAAACTATATGCCACTTTGAATAAAGGAAGAATATATCAACCTGTTCAATCATGTATATAGTACTTTAACACATCTCAGAGAATTTCGTATAAAGGAAATTATCATTTTGTTATTTTTAAAGTCAAGTATATACTTACATGGGAGAAGCAAAAACCAGTATAGAGATTATATTCCCTGCAAAAAGATATAATATATCACCATATTATGCTCTACCAAGTACTAATAGAAGAAGAAGGAAAAAAAAACAAAGACTAGCAATAGAAGAAATTAAATATATTCAAAAAGTTTTTCATGTAAAAGAAATTAGGCAAACCTATAATGCCAATGATGAAGCTCAAGCTAGCCATGGAAGGAAAGTAGTGTTTTTGGTGATGGTGAGGGAATGAATGAGAGAGGAGAGAGATGATTATATGTGAAGGAAAAGGGAAAGAAGTTGGGTGGCTGGTGGTGAATTGGGCTAGAAGTTTTATACAACTTTAAATGATTCTAGATGAATGTCCATCTCTTGATATTTGCCATGTAGCATGTTGTGCTGGTTTGTACCTGATATGACAATTAAAGTTATGTTAGAAATTTTAAATGATTTATTAAATTTTCTATCAAATTTTTTGCATAGATGTAGGACTCACACATATGTGAGTTTGTGTGGATCCCATAACTATACGAGAAATTTAATAAAAAATTTAATAAATCATCTGAAATTCATAAAATTTAATAAAAAATTTAATAAATCATCTGAAATTCATAATATTTTACATGATAATTGTGATAAAATGTCCTTTAGACAACTTTGAAGGCCCTAAGTTTTGGCCTCACATGTCTTTTTTTGAGTCCACGTGGATTTTCATTTTCCTTGTCTGCTAAAATTTTCACTCTTTGAGCTATTAAAGTGATGGGAAATGCTTTGAATATCTAGTTACGTAAGTGATAATGAGATAAAAATTGAGTAGTTATGGGATATTTTATGCCATATTATTAATGCAGTGTTTTAATTAATAATGTAATGAAAATTGTATAGTGTTTTATGCCATATTATTTTATACCATGTTAATTCACTTATGTTACGTAATTTTTGTAATTTTTTATTTAACGTAAACATTATGTAAATAATAATATGAGATGATTTTTTAAAATTATTTAATAGTTTTCTACAATTTGTGGGGTCAACTTTCGTAGTGCGGCATATCTAGATGAGGGTGCTGGTGGGAAGACCCTGGGAGATCTCCAACTGAAGCATGATTACATTTGATGGCTACTCCTTTTCTCTTTTCACTTTTGTCCTTCCTTTTATGCTATGGATGTTGTACAACGATGGATCATTTTGTAATTTTACCGTCGGTAGTGAGAGATATTTCCTTTGTCTTTTCAATCATTTCGCAAATTTTCTTCTCACTTTAATATTACGTCGCTAGTGGGAGATATTCGCAACTTTTATTTCAACATATCATTTTGATTTTGAAAAATTATTGATTAATTCTGAAATATCATGTGATCATATTTTAAATTAATTTTCAATTATTGAAAAATAGTTTTGAAATTTTTTATATTTTTTTATTAATTTTGAGTATTAATTAAGGTGGGACCCGAGCGTTAATTTTAATATTTTTTTATTAAATTCATGTTTAATACTGCGTAGTGAATAAAATTGTGTATTTAGTTATTCAAAACCATTTTCGGATGAATGAGAATTCAATGCGCATTTTCGAGTTTGTGAAAATGTAATTTGGTGGGTTTATTACACATTTGTGAAATGTGCTTGTTTCACATTGGATAAGCTTCAGGAATTGTTTGGGTTTATAAACCTTAACTTTGGATACTTGGGATGGGGCCCAAGGGGTACCTAAGTTTGTGAAATGGTGAGGTTATGAGCGAAGTGGACTAGGCCCATTGGATCCAAAATTAAAACCACACGCACGCGCTGTCGCCGTCCGACCGGCTTCAGCTTGGGCGTGGGTGCGTTGTTAGATTAGGCTTGTCGAGCCCAATACTTATCTTTTTTAGACCAAAAACTTTTGTATTTTATTTTATTTATTTATTTTAAATTCAAAAGAAATTTGGTCCAGATTTTTGCCACCCAAACAGTTCCTAACCCGAACAGGTTCATACCTTTTCATTCCAAAACTGGACAGATCTGTATCTGTTCAAACAGTCCGAACAGATCTGTATCTGTTCAAATAGTCCAAACATGTTTTTGGTTATTGAATCTGTCCAAACAGGTTCATATCTATTGGCACCTGTTCGGAAAAGCCACTTTCACTTCTATAAATAGTTGGCCATCCAGCAATTCTTTAAATCCTGTTTTTTGAGAACATTTCTTCCTTTCTCCTTCAAGTCATCCTCTTGTCTTTCTGCATTTTTTCTGCATTTAGGAGTTGTTTGGGATGTCCTAAATAAGTACATTTTTTTACTTTTTGGACTAGAAAGTTGAGGAAAAAAATATGGTTGTTTGGGTTAACTTTTTTACTTTTTATGAAAAAATGTGTATTAAAAAATTGTATAAATTAGTATGAAGGAGAAGTTATGGAGAGTAGGCAATATAGCGTGCATCTGTAATTTTTGACTTTTGGTGAATAGTGATAACTTTTTAACTTTTTGAGTAACTTTTTGACTTTTTGACTTTTTTTCAACTTGCCAAACTTGGCCTTAATTTTAGGAAGAAAAAGAAAGAGTTACAACATAATTTTGATTCGCAAGTCCTGGTTTTGTAGTGCTGCAAAATTCAAATGATAGTCATTGCATCTTGGGAAATAGACGCCGGTAAACTCAAAGCACCGGAACGAGGGTGCAATCTACTTTAAGGAGATTGTGTCCAACACAAGCCTCGAGATTATTTTCTATAAGCCTTTAATTCGAAAAAATAATTTATATAATTATTTTCTGAATTATTTTTATTTTATTATTTATTTAATTTATACACACCATCCACTGTGGGAAATAACATTTTTTAGTCTTATGTTGTTTCTCATCTCTAACATAAATCGTGCATCCCTACCTCTTTCTACTAATCAAAACTTTATGAAGTACCACATGTTTATACTCTGAAAATACTGAATAATCACCCTTTTATTTTGTGTGTATTCTTCTTAATTCACACTTAAAAAATAATAAATATATAATATATGCCCACTCTACATATTTTTATTTCAAATATACCCTAACAAATGAAAAGTATACACATACTATTCAAAACACACCCAAATCTATATACACACACCTAAACTTAAATATCTATGGAAGAAAGTTGAATGACCAATTTCAAATGAAGAAAATGATAGTTTAATCTTGTACACAAGAAGTACAACGCAGTCAAAAATAAACAAATAAAATTACAATACCTAACTATATCGACCATGATAGTGATATTTTACTTCGCCCAGTTATGGGGATCAAGCTGTGATGGTGAAGAACCTTTTACCAATTTTTTTTATTTAATTTCTCCCTTACCTAAAAAAAAATAATAAATAGAAATTATCAAATCTGTGTACATACATCGAAACTTAAACCTCCATTGAAGAAAATTGAATCACCATTTTCAATACATTAGACTCAAATCTAACAATAGAAAGAAAAAAATAAAATAAAATAAAATAGGTTGACAATGCCCAAAACAATAATAATATGTGAGTTCGAAAATTTAGAATCGAAATTTTAGAAAGAGTTCAAAATTAAAGTATCGGAAAAAAAAAAATTGTTTGGAACTTGATAGCCCCCAAAAAATGTTATTTTCAGAAAAGACTTTGTTTATAACTTGGTTGGTGAAAAAAAATTCTTTGGAACTTGGCTTTTTAAAAAGAAAATTTAGTTCAACACTTGGTTGCTGAAAAAGTTAGTAATTTTCGACTATGATTTACCAAATGATGTTGGAAAAAAATGGATGATTTTAATATTCAAACTCACATTTTCATTGATATTTTTGTCATAAATGATGATATCCTTCTCAAAAACTTTTATCATGCAAATATTCCATAACAACAATGATGGTGATATTTAAATGAGGAGGAAGAACCCAATCTAAAGTAATGAGAGGGTTTGATTTGGAAGGTCGCAATGGAAACAAAAATAGGGTGATAATGGATTGCAAAATCATAACCTTTGGAAGATGACAATAGAGTAAGTGAGAAAAATATATATATATATATATATATGTATATTTTGATTCAAAGGAAATGAGGAAAACAGACAAGAAGAAGAAGGAGTTCAGAATTACAAACAGAGGCTTCTCCCTCAGCCTAGCCACTCCAGTCATATCCTTAATGAGGAGAGTTATGACCTCCATAGGAGGATCCTCAAGGATTTTTACATTCTCAGCTTGTGCTACACCTAAATCAGCTAGTCTATCAGCTACTTTGTCGCCTTCTCTCAAGGTGTGAAGGATAGAACAGTGGCATCTCTGAAGGAGGAATTTGGCATCTTCAATGAGGGCCTTGAGAGGAGAGTTCGGGTGTGGTCCTTGTTGAATCTGGAGCATAGCTTGTTCAGAATCTGTTTCAATTACCACATTGGTCAGCCCTTTCTGGAACAAGATGGTGAGTCCACGGTAGATGGCCCAAATTTCTGCTTCCAAGCATGTGCAGTGTCCCAAGTATCCATAGTAGCCCTATATCCAAATGCCTGTATCATCCCGCAAGAGACCTCCATAACCTACTTGACCTGGATCCCCCTTTGAACAACCATTTGTGTTAAGCTTCAATGTGCCTACAGTAGGAAAACACCATTTTATTAGCTTAGTAAAGAAAATTCGGGGTGAAGAGGAGATTGAAAAGCCTCATTAATTTCATGCACATAATCCCTGATGAGTTTAAGGCCAGTATGGATTGGACTTGAGAGGGTAATTTATATGTAAATTTGGCCGAGTTGGGTAATAGGCCATTATGTGGGTCACAGTAAGGACGGAGTAAAAGGGCCTTGAAGTTAGCCCGGTCCAAAAGAACTTTGTAGTTAGCTCGGTCGGCATGGTCAGAGCGACGACAGTTAGTTCGGTCAAACCATATTGAGCCGAGGTATTTTGGGCCTTTTCTCAGGACCTTGCTATTGAATAGCTCGGTCTAGGCACACTATGGATAGCACGGTCTGAACAGGTGAAACCGAAGTACAAGTAACAGAGGAGAGAACCGAGCTAGCTAGAGCTCGGTCATTTCAGCCAGTTTAGCATGGTTGTTTTATCCCGGTCGTTTTGTCATACTACCGAAGTAAAACCATCTCACTTGGTTTAAGCAGTGAGGGAGGTGTTGAAAGATAAGCATTATCTTTCAGGGGTGTGACTCCTAAAAGGACTCTACGCGGAGGAATAAGAGTCCTACTGGGATTGTGCCATGCGGAACCTATAAGAGCTCACAACATCACCTAT